GCAGACTGTTGATGAATCTTCCACCAATCCTGACACCACACTTCTCCTCATAGAGCCCAGCCTCCCAGATAATCTGTTCTAGGATGCAACTAAAGCTATACTTTTAGGAAAATTTATAGCATTAACTATTTATATTAGAAAAGAACTGGATGCTAAAGTTGGACAATGAATAAAAAAGCCCAAAGAAGATGCCTTTAAATAATAATACTGATACAAGGTTGAGTTTAACTGTCACCATTCAACCTGCTAAACGGTGTCTTAAAAACCTATAGGTGATATTACACTTAGTTGTGCAAGACTCAATACTTTTTCCCTAAAGCTGAGAAACAGAAAAGGAAGTCCAGTCTCTACAGCAATTCAACAGTCATGATGGTCTTAGCCAATGTAAGCAGTAAGAAAAGGAACGAAGCATAAACAGACTGGAAAAAAACTACCGTATTCATAGATCACTTGTCTCTCCCTCTCTCTAAAATCATAAAGAATCTTTAAAACTAAAGAAATATGACTATTAGAATTAGTAAGGAAGGACACAGGACGGAAATGCCTGTCGCTGTCAGGTCTATTCTGACTCACAGAACCCTATCGGATAGAGTATAACTGCCCCCTAGGGTTTTCAAGGTTTAAAAGTCTGGGAAGAGAATGTCTCATCTTTCTTCCTCACAGAGGAAAATAGCTTTGTCAACCTTTCAGTCAGCAGTCCAACATTTAAGCCCCTGCGCCACCAGGGTCCCTATAAAAACAACTAAAATTGAAGACTCTCCCTTCTTAAGCATTGGAGAGGATGCGAGGTAAATTAATTTTCATTCACTAGTGTGGTCCTCGGCAAGGTTCAAATTGTCTTCCTGTCAAACATTCTTCTAGGTGGTATAGCACTTGTCTGTGCGTTGCTGTACAGAGGTAACTCGTGGTTGCTGTGATGCTGAAGCCTGTGACGGTGATGTGCCAATCGTGGTAATGGGCACCCACGGTGGACAGTGTTGGCTGGAGCTTCCCGACTAAATCAAGCCTGGAAGCAGGAGCGGCATCCACTTCCAAAATGGCTTGCCTCTGGAAACTCTATGTACGAACAGTGGTCAGGCTGTTCGTTCATAGGGTCGCTATGAGTCGTCTACGACTTGATGGCATTAAACAACAACAACAGTTGTAAATGTAAAATGCCATAATCCCTTTGGGAAAGTGCAGAAGTTTCTTGAAAACTTGAGCATGCATATACTTTAGAAGCAAGCCAATCCCTTCACAAATACTTACCCAAGAGAAAGAAAAATGCATATTCTTACTAATACTTGCTTACAACTCAAATGCTCAACAAGACGTAGCTGGAGAAATAAATCGTGGGGTATTTGTACATAAAAGATTGGCACCTAATTCTGGACACTGGCAGATTCTGCCTTTTTGTCCTGTTACAATGAAGATGTTAAATGTATCCATTTTTCAACATCTTAATTGTAGTAATGGTTTCAGAGTTACATACAAAATGCCCAAAAGTCTCAAGTGGTCTATTTTAAATATATTCAACTGTTTTTGTAGCACCTAAAAAAAACTGGGGAGAAAAAACTGCCCGTGACACAGAAGACCGGCCCCTAAGCCCGGAAGCTGGTGGCTTTGGCTTCGGCCTTGTTGCCTTTCCCCGCCTCTTCCTATGCAGGTGCAGCACTGGATTTTCATCCACCCGCTACGTTCATTAAGCACAAAGGTGAGGAGAAAGCTGTCTGTGGGAAATGGATTACGGACTCAGAAACGGAGAAAGGAGGGCAAACAGGACACTGACTCTGTCATTTAAAACCCTTTGGCAGGACAAGCACCATTTGATGGTGAGATTCAAAGTGATTTTCCTTTAAATGTTTTCTGTGCTTTCTAAATCATTCACAAGCACCGCTTTACGCCCTGGAGAACAGAAAACACTTGTGAAAAACTCAGTTAAGAATATGCAAAAAGACACGCAGAGGCATTGTTTTCACCTTGATGATTCCTGAAGAGCACCAGGAATGGGGAGGATGAAGGATAGTTACAATATACACTGAAGGTCAAAATCTGAAAAAAAAATACAGGTATGCTCCAACGTCTCATGTCACGTGGGGTTTTTGGGGGGTTGTTTTATTTTTTTAATTCTTTGTTGTGTATGGTCAAATCAGATCTGACTGGCACAGGAGGAGATTGCCCCTCCTGCTCCAACAGAGCATCTGGTGGATTCGAACCATGCACCTTCAGGATTGCAGTGCTGACAAGCCACATGTTTTGACTGATTTCCTACCCTTTGAGTTGAATACTGACTTTTCAAACTCGAAAGAGAAAGTGCTTTTCAGGTTTCAGTGTGATTAGCAACCACAGGAAGGAGGGTTTCTCTCCTATAGAGCTTACAAGCCTTCGAATGAATGAAGCGTGACAGCACAGGACCAGGGCCAGGAGAGTGGAGACTTCTTATGCCTGCTTGTCCCAAACTGTCACCATCAGGTACCTTGGTCACCACGTTAAGCATATGTTGGGGTGGGGGAACAAAGCAGGGGTTTCGGAAATTTAAAAGGATCAGAAAATAAGTTTCTCTTTGAAATAAATTCACAGGTCAAAATGGAGACAAAATGTTTTTTCATGCTACCTGAACAGAAATCCTAAGTAGTCTTCTTTCGTTTCTGGAAGAATAAAAACCAACCTTTAAGTGATTGTAGAATTCTTGGCTTAGTTCTTCATTTCAAAGAAAAGTGAAAATAGGCTAGCATACTACAATGCAACAAAGTACAACAACACAGACACTTACACGTCTTGGAGTGCTCATGTGACAGCATGTAATTGGCAAGAGGCGGCGTGTACGTCAAACACTGCAGAGCTGCATTGGCAAAACAGGTATTGCCCAGATTCTGGAGCCCAGCTCCAACTCTGTGACTCTGCTGCCACTTCAGACAGATCTTCTCAGATGGGAAGAGAACTTTCTGTGGAGGAGCAATGCCATCACCTAGGACTAGAAAAATGAAGCACAAACATTTCAAAACAAAGTTGGGTCTGCTTTCAAGGTTTCTACAGTCACATATCAAACTACAATCAGATCAAGATCTAACGTTTTATAACCTGCTTACTGGAAATACAAGAAATAAATGGAAATGCTAAAAGGGAGATTATCAGAAACTACACATGATCCAATCAATCAGTAAAGAAGGGAACTTCAAGACACATTTCCCAAATAGTAGACATTTGTTTGGCTCTTGATTTGAATCAACTCTCCAAAGAATTATGACAACCAGGGAAATCTGAACATTGACTAGAATTCTAAATAAAGATACTGTTTTTTAAAAAGAATTCTTCTTTTTAAGATACAAACCTCAGTTACAGGTGGAGTATGAAGGCCTGGGTTGCTTTACAGTAAGAAGGAGAGAAAAGAGTAAATGGGGAAGAATTAGATGAAACAGATTGGCCCTGAGGTAATAAATATCGAAACAGGCCGATGAGTACATGAATTGAGAGTTCATAATAATTTGTCGTCTTTTCTTATCTAAAATTCTCCAAAATAAAGTTTCTCAAAAACAATCACTAGAAAGCACAAGGTCATTCAATCCCTCTGCCGTCTGCTGCAGCACCTCCTCTTCAGCGACCCCACCATCATTGTCGAACTCACCACCGTTTCCTTAGCGGGCTCTTAGCAAACAGTTTCAAGTTCACGACTATGTTGTCGCCCCCAGTTTATGTAAGGAACTCTGGATGGCAGGCACCACAAGGCCAAACTAGTAAGACTACTACATGACATTTTAAAAGGTTTTCTCGCTTTTCAAGAATTCAAAACCATCTACTAATGACTAAGCATGTTACTAGGGAGTCCTGGAGGCACCAGCCACAGAGAGTTGAACTTCTAGCCCAAAGGCAGTGCCTCTCTGGGTAGAATGCACCAGCAGTTCCATGGAAGAAAGGAAGGCAATCTCCTAATGTGCAATTTACAGCCTTGAAAACTGAATGGAAAGTCAACTCGGAGTAGGCAGATCCAGAGAGAAAGAGAGAGAGAGAAAAGCACATCAAAGGTCCTGAAGGTACACGGTTCGAATCCACCAACTGCTCCATGGGAGAAAGATGGGCACTCTCCTCCTGTGTGATTTACTGCCTTTGCAACCCTGCTGGAGGATCAGCTACGAGTCAGTTCTGACTTGACGGCACTAAACAACAGGGGCATAGTGGCTATGCTGCTAACCAGAAAATCAGTAGTTCCCTGCTCTGAGGGTGAAAGACTAAGCAGCCTCTTCTTGTAAAGATTTACAGCCTCCAAAACCTAATGAGAGGTGACCTGAGGACAGTGGGGCTTCACTTTTCTTGGAGCTGGCTTTACAGTGTACAGAGGTACTGGTCATGTCTGCAGAGGGAGGCTCTGGCCCAGTGGAGGAGAGCAATAGCAGACAGTGAGAAACAACTGTGCAGAGAGAGGGCAGGCAGCACAGAGCAGGGAGAGGCAGGAGGTTGTGACGAAGTCCTAGGGGAGGCAAAGCTGCCAACAACACGACAGGAGGTAGAGTCTGTGGGTACGGCGGGCCTGCAGATCCTGGGGAAATGTGAGGTAGAGGAGGAGCCAAAGGACTTAAAACCTCCATGTTCAATTAAGTTGTCACTGCTTTGTGATACAAACTCTTCCCTCTTCCAATCTCTAAATTACTGTATCACACAGAGAACCCAAAACACAAACCCAGTGCCCTCAAGGGGATTCTGGCCCCCAGTGACCTTGAAGGGTAGAGAAGGCCTGCCCCTGTGGGGTTTGCAGGGCCACAAGTCCTGACAGGATTAGACCATCTCAGTTTTCTCCTAAGGAGTGGCTAGAGGGTTCTAAACCTCAGCTCTCTGCTTAGAAGCTGAATGCCTTACCCACAGTATCACCAGAACTTCTCCCAAAATACTATGTTCAAATTATTCTTAACTGAAATGAAGCCAAATGGGTTTCCCAGGAAGAGCTAATTCTCTTACCTGTCTTTGCATTTCATAGCTCCAACACCCTTAAGTAACAACTGTCAATGTTTCATTTGTCTGAGTTCCTTTTAGCAAATGAAACAGTATTTACACTTATTTCCCTCTTATCCACTTCTTCATTAATGACAACTTTTAAAAACTTCCTAGGCAGGGCCTCCACTCTTCCGGGCCCTACGGGGAGCTATAGCCAGCCCATAGGTCTGGGGCATCTTCCACAAGCCACCCTGAATGGTCCACTGAAGGCTCCAGCAATGACCCTGCTGTACCAGGGACAGCAGTGGACTGATCATGAGATACCTTCTCTTGTGTCAAAGGCACAGAGGTCAAGGGCAGTCAGGGAAAGGCTGACAAGGGTAGAAGGTGCTGGGGAGGTCAGTGGGGGGGGGGAGCAGAAAGGGGGCCTTGCAGGATGGGTGGCCAGGGTGGTCAGGGGACAAGAGGGGCCTCTGCCAAGACGGGGCCAAGGACAGTGCTCAACCTCACCCGCCACTGCAATCACTTCAGCAGTTTCAGCTCCAAAGTCACAGGGAAGGAATGGTGGGGGAAGGGGCGGTGGGGAAGGGGGCCGTCCTAACTCACAGCACGCCAATCTCATCAGGAAATTAAACGATGAGTAACAGGTGCATGCAGAGTTCTAAAATGTGACATATGAGCTCTTTCAAAGAGGAAAGATCTCTTGGCACAAGGTGTCATTTTTTATTATTGAGATCTTAAAAGGCAGTATTTTTTAGGGAGCTCTGGTGGTCTCGTGGCAAGAAGCTGCACTACAATCCCAGAGGTCTGCAGTTTAAATCCACCAGATGCTCTGCTGAAGAAGGAGGGGCAATCTCCTCCTGTACCACTCAGATCCGATTTGACGGTACACACACAAAATTTAAAAAAAAAAAGATAAAAAAAAAAGGCGGTCATTTTTAAAAACACCTTTACGTTTTTTAATTAGACATCTACTTAGAAAACTAGGCGCTCTGGTGGCTTATTGGTAAGGAATTGCAATGCCAACCTAAAGGTACGTGGTTTGAATCTACCTCGTGCTCCAAGGGAGAAAGATCAGCAACTCTACCCAAGTGATTTCCTGTTTCTTGAAAAGCTGCTTGAGGGTCAGTTCTAAGTCAGTTCTGACTGCAGGGCACACAAAAACAACTGAGGAAACTACATAATAGCAACTAGTTAATTGGCAATTATTAACATCATACTTGCTCACCTCAATTTTTTTATTAATTTTAATGAAAGCTTATAGAGACTTAGGGTTTCCAGTCATTCACTGTTGCACTTTTCTCTCCGCTCATCCCCTGCCCATCTCAACTGTAATATAAAAGCTGTCCTTCGAAAACCTAGGAATGAGAGAGAGCCTGCTAACCTTTCAGTAAATACGAATAACCTTACCTGCCGTGCTACATTTGCTTCTGGTAAACAAGCAGCTGAGGGAAAGGAAGCCTGCCCACACTGCAACTTGATGGGCCACTCAGCAAACTGAGGGTCTCTCTCAAACCAGCAACCTGCCCACAGCACTGACACAGAGGTTTCTGGCAATGACTCCTCTGGTGGCCTAAGAGTAAGAAAGCACGCTGCAATCTCAAAAGCACTCAGTTCGAATCCACTAGCTGCTCCTTGGGAGGACGACGAGCAATCTCCTGTGTGATTTACGGACTCTGAAAACCCACTCGGGGGTCAGCTCTGGGCCAGTGTGACTCAGGGCACACAACCACCACCTCAAATACAATACCTTGATCCTTTTGTGGTGATGGTTTTGATTTCTCAGGTACGCTTGAACTTGAATAAACCACAGCACCAGGTACTGGTCCTAACGAGAGTGCGTGATTGGAGACGTCAGTTAAGGAAGACACAGCACCCCAGCTGGCAGAGCCGGCCTCCATGTCTCCGGGTGAGACAGCTTCACAACTGCCAGCCTGGTTCTGACAGGTTGACGGCTCTGAAGACTCAGAAGCTTTGTCAACTATGGTCATTGTTCAACTCTGCAAGAGATGGAAAACACATCAGATGAGAAAAGGAATCGTATTTTCTAGCAGTTTTGCCCCAATCTCTCTGGGGCATTTAGCAGCATGGTAACTGAAATATGTGGACAATGTTTATCTTTAAACTTGACTAGAAGACCCTCATTTTCCAGTCCATGCTCTGTGACAGTGTATTTCAGCTCACAAGCAACTCCTAGTTCTATTTATTTCCTGAAAGTGCCTACTTTTTTTTCTCTACAGCTCAAAACCAGATTATTATTTGCACCATAAGGGAGCTCTGGGGGTGGGGCCTGCAGGGAGTTGCACTGCCAACCCTTAAGTGGGATCTCTGGCAGTTCAAACCCACCAGCTGCTTCTCAGGAGACGGCTGGGCAATCTTCTCCCAGTAACCCACTGCAGGGTCAGCTAGGAGTCGTTTTTAACTTAACAGCAATGAGGAATGGTAGAATCTGTATTTAGCTAAACTTTCAGGGTATAATTTCCCAGGAAAACAAGTCAACTACATAAGAGAAATCTAACTAGACGGTGTGTGCATCAGTGTCTATATCCTTTAAGTTGCTACACTTTAACAATGAACGGTCATGCACAGCCACAGGGTCTAGAAAATGAAGCAGCTGGAACATCAACTCAACTCGTCTGCAGCTGCGACATTCCCGGCTGGGGTTCCCTCAAGCTACACAACCTACTTAAAAGAATCCTTTTAGGAATGTTCCCGAAAGAATGGCAGCTAGAAAGCTGGCAGCCCAATCCAGAGAGGCCCCTCCCGTGGAGCACACTTTGTAGGGCTGCCCAGGCTGCCTACCACCTACACTTGGCAAGGCTGACCCAGTAACCTCTCAGCACCCTCCCCACGTCACATGCCCGCCACACCGAGCTCCCTTCCAGCCAGCTCACTCTGGGACAGACACACACACACACTCTCGCTCCTCCCTTTCTGTCACACTCCCTCCTCCTCCAAGCGCACACTTCCGCTTCTCCCACTAAGAATCCGCTCCTCCAGGAACTTCCCCAGCAAGTCTCTCTCCTCAAGGCTGGGTGAGAAAGCCCTCCTGCAGCCCACAGCTGATTTCCCAGACAGGTGAGCGCCCAGGGAAGCCCCTGTGTGGCTGGTTACTCACCACCCTGCCCTTGTTTACATTCCGGACCTGCCTTTCACACGGTCCACAAATGAATGAAAATGCTCGGAGACAGGAAGTAACTAGCATTTGCTGGGAGCATCCACTTGTGTGGAGTAATTGACACATCTTTTAATCTTTTAAAGACAAAACCAAAAAAACCTCAGGAGGAATAGTTTTTTAAAAATATTTTTTGAAGCCTCCATTCAGCAAAGCACAGAGATAATAAAACAGGTACCCACGTACTTTCAATCTCAATGAACAACTTTTTAGGATAGCGCTGGATGTCCACAAGAAGTTTTTCTTTCCCCCTTTGTTTTCTTTAATGCCACAATTTTGTTGTCTGTACTTTTTAAACTGAGATTCTCATCCTCTACTTCACGCCAAAACAAAGATGTACAATTGTGAAAACCAGATTTACAAGGTTTAAGGAAGGGGGATTGCCAGGAT